TATGATGCTTATGTTCATAAAAAATTGCCCAAAGTTGTAACATTTGTCGTCTATTCTTTATTTTCAAATATAGCTGGGGTTTTTTTCCCTTCACTTCTTAAGAGTCAGATCTGATTATTTCTTTCCTGGTGTTTTGATCATATGATCAAAGCCCTGCCCCCTTTTTAACACATGTGTTAAAATCACACAGTGGCAGCCACCATCCTGACTTTTTTGATTCCTCCATGGATGACCCTTGATATGCTACAGCATTTAATCAGTCTAAGAACCCCAAATTAACAATCTTTGGTCAGTTTTCTTAGTTTCAGAGGAAATTAACTGACATGTTTGGTATTGATATATGGGGTGTGGCTAGCCACAGACAAGGATAGCATGCTGAGTTCTCCATTCTTCCCCCACTCTAGCTATTTAATATAGCCAGTTTACCTCATTAAATATCTTATCAAATAGTAAAATAATTTAAAGGATGTTAAGGAAGGAAACTCTGCACAAAGGGAAAGGGATCAAACTGTATTTGGAAGACCCAAAGAAGGTTGAGGAAGTACCTCTTCCCAGCAACAAAGAAGCAATGGAGGAAGAAAGCTCCATGGACAGACATCTGATATGGAGCTAATTGGACAATTAATAAAACAACTTAAAAAAGAATTGAAGACAGGATGGGAGAAACATGCAGTAGGATTAACTACAGACTTAGCAGTTATGTCTGAGCAAATGAATAAACAATTTAAGGAAATGTCATGGCAAATAGCAGATATAGCTCAGGTTACCAACAAAGTTTATGATATGGCTACAAGCAATAGTTTGGAGATAGGCGAGGTTCAAAAGAATATTGCTGAAATAAAGACTGAGCTAGCAGATTTACAGGATCGTAGCAGGAAAAACAGCTTAAGGATCAAAGGAGTGTCAGAGAAAACTGGAACAGCCAATCTGACTACTTATCTCTAAAATTAATGACCTGAACTCTGATTCGAACTTATTGGATAAAAATATTGAACATGTTCACTGGGTTTACTCTCCTAGGAACACACAGAAACCTAGAGACATTTTGGTCAGATTTGTACATTCAAATATAAAACAAAACATTATAAGAAAACATTGTGAAATGGAGGAGATTAAATGGGACGGTGAGAGAATGTTCTTCTTCCAAGATATCAGTGTAGCTACATTGCAGCGAAGAAAGGAATTCAAACCACTGACAGAAAAAGCTATGCAGAATGAAATTCAATGCAAGTGGGGATTCCCTTTCAAGTTAATTGTTTATGCCACAAGGACAAAAGGTTATTTCTACTTTGACTTAGATGCACAACTTGTTGGCAAAGTTCTCTAAGAGAGGATGAAGGAAGCAATCTGTGACTTGTCCTTGGAACCGTGGAAAGCAGGCTCAGCCACAAGCTGAAGATTAGATAAGAATGCTGCACTGAGCTGTGGAGTAAAAGAAATTATATTGATTGTATTACTTTTCTTGAACGTTTAGGTTTAGAGGAAGGGGAAAAAGGAGGGAGTTAAATAAATAAGAATAAATAATTAAATAAAATAATGTAGGTAAAACTATGGCTAAGGAACTATTGTAATTAAATTTGAGATTTTATTGGCTGATGAGGAGGAAAAGGAATCTCAGTAGGTTACTCACACCCCGTAGACATGAAGAGGATCGATCCTCTACAAATTTTTTGCTATTGGTCTAACTGGGATTGGAGGGTAGGGAGGTTGGATATGTAGGCATGGTACAGTGTGGGGAATGGGGTGGGGGAGGGATAAGGGAGGAAGGTGATTTTTAAAGGAAGGGAGAACGGGAAGAGGGTATTGATGCAGGGAAAAGAATTCTAATGTTATGTATGACATTACATGGAAGAAATCATTCCATTTACTGGACAGTATACTATCAGGCAATTTTTGCGAGCAATAAGCTTTCAATAATTTTCTGGATGAGAGATATCTTAACTGCACAGAGAAATTAGGTAGAGACATTCTAAAAATGTAGTAATGGGAGAACAATGTAAAATTATTTCTTTAAATGTTAGAAGTCTGGGAGATCCTATTAAGGGAAAAGTAATTGTCAATTATGTCAAATCATTTAAACCTTGAATGATAGGTATTTTGATAAACAATTTTTTGCACAAGGGTCTAATAAATCAAGGGGAGTAGCTATTGTTTTCAAAGCTGGCATAAATTTCAAGGTTCAAAAGATTTTGAAAGATAGGGAAGGTAGATA